CTCAAAGAAATTAGGTGGTTGGGGCTGGAGAGAAGGTTCAGTGATTAAGAGCACTGGCTGCTCTTCCAGAGAACCCGGGTTCAATTCCCAGCATCCACACGGAAGCTCACAACTGCCTGTAACTCCAGTTCTAGGGGATCAGACAGCCACACACAAACATTCATGCAGACAAAACACCAATGCACATAAAATAAAAATAATTTGGAAAAAAAATTAGGTCAAGAGCCATTGAGGAGGACACTTGCTATCAACCTCTGGCCTCCACACACACATATACAGAGACAGACAGACAGACAGACACAGAGAGGGAGAGTTTGTGTGTGGTAGATCCTGTATGACCTTGAACTAACCTCCACTTCTCCATGACAGAAATGGGGAGGACACTGTGCTGGAGGATGCCATGCATGCATGGTGAGACTTCTGGTATTCCCAAAGAAAGCCAGACCCAAGAAATACGCTCAAGGCCCCACCTTTGCCAGAACTGGTCAGGGCAAGCGACCTGTAGATACTGCTCCTCTCAGAGTATCACAGGCTATGTCTTTTTCCAGTTCGTCCTAATCAAGCATCCCAGCAGAGTACTTCCGGCCCTACCCAGGGCCCACCCCCACATGCTGCCTCTGACTCACAGCTGGGAGGCTTTTTCCTAACAAGCTTTTCTGGTCAGTGATCAGCTGAAGACAAGGCCTCTCTGACAAGGCAGTTGGATTTCTTCTCTACCTCTTTTACAAGCTCCCAACAGCAATCTTGCCAAATACTCACGGTTTTCCTATTTGAATGCAAAAGAGAGCAGAGGAAACCTCTAATCCCGCAGCACACACACACAGAAGTCTCATTCAAGACCCCCTAGCCTCTGTTTCCTGGCTTAGGGTCTCAGGCGAGCCCTTCAGTCTAGCCAGTCCCCCATAGAAACGGACAGGTGAGCATCCTGACACTTGCCCTGCCCAAAGCTGAGAGCTGGGGTAGATGGAAGGACTCTGCGACACTGAAAATCCTGTAAAGCTGGCACGGTGGCATGCGCCTGTCATCCCCACTACTCAAGAGGTGGAGGCAGGAGAAGTTCAAGGCCATCCTCAGCTATATGGGAGTTCCAGACCACCTAGGTTACAGAAGTTCCTGTCTGAAAAGTAATGGCAAGTTTTGGATCCCCGGTTATTGGGTATCTTCTGCTGCGATGCAATAAGCCAATCAAGCTGAATTATTAAGTCCAGGTTTAAAAAACAAAGTGAAGCAACTCCTAGGTGACTAGGGAAGGCAGGGGAGAGAGCAGGAGAGCACACAGCAGGTATGGTGACCGGGTCTCAAGCAGCCTGTGGGCTTGGTCTTGAGCCGCCCAGGAGAGGGGCTGACTCTTAGCAGGCTTTCTTAGGGGCAGGGTCTAGGGAGAAAGAGAGGTGCGACTTCCACCTTATCATCCCAGATTCCTTGGGTATATATGGCGCTGGCAGGGCTTCCACCTAAACAAATAGTAAAAATAAAAATAAAATAATATGTACCTGGAAGATGGCTCAAAAGACAAAAGTTCTTGTGGCAAAAGCCTGATGACCTGAGTCCAATTCCCAGAATGCGTATGAAGACGGAAAGAGAAAGCCAACTCTACAAAGTTGTTCTCTGGTCTCCACATGCGTACTGTGGCATGTGTGTGTGCCCGCCCCCCATAAATAAAGTGATGCCTTTAAAAATTAAATAAAACAAAATCCTCCTGATTATAGAGGGTAGGGAAGACTGTGCCTTCAAATCCAGAGAGGGAACACAAAACTTCACTGGATTAAGTCATCTCTACGCAGACGCTGGCCACCATCTAAAGTACATGCACAGAATCCTTTTCCCCATCGTGGGACGGCGTCTAGGGGATTAGGCAGATGATGTGAACAGTGCGGATAATCTGGAAGAAGGCATGACTCACAGCACCAGTGGGGTTGAGTCCGACAGCATGAGAATTCCTCACCCTACAGAGAATGGCCCACGATTTAAAACTTTTAATTGTTTCTAATTTTCAGAGCTAAACTACAGTTTGGTTGTTTCTGGGATTTCTTATGTTTGGATGGTGGTTGACTGTGAGTAACAGCATCCCATGGGATGAAATCACAGAGGACAGCCATAGTCCACCCGAGTCTGCTGGTGTGCCCTCCCTGGAGCCAGAATTTGCTTTGCCTTGGGTTAAAACTGAAAGGCCAGCGTGGGGGCCACAGAGGGAGAAGGGCCCTTGGCTGACGCAGTCCTGAATCCTGGCATCTGTCCTCTGCCCCTGGGAAGGAGCATCTCTGCCCGAACCTACCTCTCCTTGACTCAGCAAGCGGTCCCTCCCCTACTAGCATTTCTTCCTTTCTAGACCAGCCCTGGCATCCTTTCAGCAACTGCCTGAAGGGCACACCATAAGCACAGTCCAGGCACATGGGACGGGAAAGCAGTACATTTCCCATTTCCTCCGCATCAACTCCAAATCAACGTTCATCCACCACTCTGTGTGGGATTGTAACGTGCGGTCTGTAACTAGGCAGGGGCCCAAGCCTAAAGAGGTTTAAACAGGAGCATGAGAGTTTGGGCCAGCCTGGGCCATAAAGCAAAAACAAACAAACAAACAAATAAATAAATAAGGATTTTGTTGCCAAGTAGGGTGGTGCTTGCCTTCAGTCCCAGCACTGGAGAGGCATAGGCTGACAAACCACTGAGTTTAAGACTAGCCTCATCTATGTAGTAGATTCCAGGTTAGTCAAGGCTACGTTGTGAAACCGGGTTTCAAAACAAAAGGGGGGGGGGGGAGGAGTGTTTTCCATTTGAGAATCCTTGGCCATCTTTTGGAGAAACAGCAAGTGTGTTGTGGACGCGCAAATGAAGTGCAGCTTCAGGTGCACGCTCACTCACCCTTGCTGGATGTGAGTGAGTAACCAGTTTAATAGTGCTGCAAACTCACCAACCGACTTACAGAAAAGCGGGAAGGGAGGGATCCGACCCTCTGGGATTGAGTTTCTGAGCATTTTACCGCAGGAGTCAAATGCCTGTCAAAGATTTTTGAAGCCCAGGTTTGACTTTAAACAACCTCAAGAAGTTGTACAGCACACACGCCGCTGAGTGCCTATAAACAGCCCTGGATTTTTTTCCTGCCACGCTTCTAACTATCCAGTTCAATATCACCACGGCGCCTAAAAGGTTTTTAATACAGATATTAAATATATCCATATCGTCACTTCAGTGAGAGCTAGAGCAGCGGGGCTTTTCCTCTGGGGTCTTCCCAGCTATTTGCTGCTGACACAGACTATTAAAAATAAACCTACCCGGAGGAACTAGTCATTTTACATGGTATTAGGACTAATGTTATCATTTAGTAGCTGCAGAGATTTGCCCGCTGCAGAGGCCCCAGATAATGATGGAAACATGATCGAGTGAGATGATCTCTCCACAGACAACTTGCATCATCTGCAGCATGTCATGTAGATGCTTATTTAAGACTTACACCACTGAGCAAACATTGATGCCTTCAGCAGAATAAAACCATCAATGCTGCGGGTGATAAGGAATGGCATTCTCTTCTAGGGCTTGAGACAGGCTGCATAGGAAACAGGAAGCCTAGCTCTGTGGTTCGAAAAGGAGGGTGCAGTAAGACACTCTCCACCTTCCACCTAGCACATGCCAGGCCTGGACACATGGACCTACAGAATCAGCACCCGAGTCTTAAGAAGTCAAGTTCAGCCAGTTTTAGGAAGCTGAAATTCAAATAGGGTCAAAGCTAGGATATGAAAAAACCAGGCTAGTTACTCAAGAGGCTGAGGGGCAGAAAGATCACAAGTTCAAGACTAGCCTGGACTACAGAGTGAGTTCAAAGCCAGCATAACCTACTGACCATGTTTTAAAATTAAAAATTAAAATAATAATAATAATAATAATAATAATAATAATAATAATAATAATGACTAGGTGTTAGAATTCTGCCCTCACTCCAGCTGCATGTCTGCACATGCGCAGTTCAGGAGTTAAGTAAGGGGTGTTGCGTCTTATGACATCAGTGTGCGCTGGTGACTACATGCTCGAGGTGTGGTCACGCAATCAGCGCATGTGTGATGTAGCTCTGTAGGCCCACCTGGGCCTTAAAGAGCCGTGACTCATACCCCATCCCTCTCTCTGTTCTGCTCCCTCTCCCCCCTCCACACATCTTTCCCTCTCTCTGCACGTGCTCCTTCCCAGGCCTGGTTCTTCTCCCCCCACCCCTCTTTCTCCTAATAAAGCTCTGATACTGGGTAGTCGTGGCCCTGCCTCGTGACCTTTTCACTCAGTAACCAGCACCATTTATCAGTCATTTCACTGGGACTAGTTAGTGCTCAGTGGTAGAACACTTAACCAGCATGTAAGAGGCCCTGGGTTCAAATCCGCAGTACTACAAACAACTAAATAAGAAAGAAATAATAAAGGCAAAAACCAAGATATGACCCCAAAGTCAAGCCATATCATCTGTTTGTCAATGCCATGGAGGCCAACTGAAAGCAAGGACCTTGAGATACAGATAGATGAGCCCACGTCACCTCACTCACTGCTTGTGGGGCAGGGTCTCATTAGTCTCCTCAATGCACCACAGGACAGAGAAACCTCTCATGGCAGAATTCACCTCCCAGTTATCCACTCACTTGGATGGCTCATGTATTCACTCACTTCTGCAGACACACAGGCACAAAACAAAGAAAAAGTAAAAAGAGTAAAGGCCTGAGCTGTGCATGTGGTACACTCCGGCAATCAGGATGCTAAGGTGGGAGAATTGAGATTTGTGGGCGAGCCAAGGAGACAAATTTAAAAAAAAAAAAAAAAAGCAGGGGCAGCGTTGTCGCTGGCCCCAAGTTGAAAGTGCACACGCAGGCCCTCATGGCTTATTGAGCGCTGAACGCCCATACCAAGGGTCTGCTGGCAGGGCAACAGTCATACTGTGAGGTGTGCCCACGGGGTTAGGCAGCCCTTTGTGTTATTTTAAAAAGCAGGTGTAGAGAAAGAGAGAAGGCAGAGAGGCTCGGTCTAACCTTAGGCGGGACCACGTTTATTCACATCTTTGCCACTCCCATGTGCAGGTGGCTAAAATGCCTACAGAGGAAGATGGGTTGAGGCCCCTTATAGAGGCAGGAATGACCTCTGAAGTCTGCAAGGGAAGCTGGGAAGTGTAGTCCTTCGGCAGGAAACTACCATTCCTATCTGAAAGAGACAAATGTGGGGCAGGGGTGTTAGAGCTACTTTCTGCTGAGGAGGGTCCATGTCAGCCAGCGTAGTTCTCAGTCCATCGAAGAGGGGGGCCTCTGGTCATGCAGCAGGAGGGGAGTCTCAAACTTGATCCGCTGTGATTGGTCAAGCAATGGCTGTCCTGTACTCCTGAAGAGAATTGGAAAATAATTATTAGAGCACTGAAAGCCGGCAATTTGACTACAGAGTAAAACAGAGATTTTCCAGGAAGGTTGAGGGATAGGGAGGAACAGAGGTGGGTGAAAGTCGGCATAGAGTTGATTCAGGGTGACAGTGACTGGTCCCATTGCGCCAGCAGCCACGGCACAGAGGACAGGGCATCAAAGGAGGGAACAGGAGAAAACAGAGGACTGGTGTAAAGGATTGTATCTGGCCTGGGGTGAAAGGGATGACCCTTCTAGCCAGAGTTTCTCCATGGCAGCTAAAAGATGCAATGTGTTGCAGATGTATCAGGAGCAAATGGAATTGTTGAGGGTAAGCACTATTGGGAGAGCTGACGTGGAACATTTGTCTGGGTACAGGGTGAAGTTCAGAAAGTAAAACATTTAAATTCAGGGTAACAACACAGGTGTGAGGGTAATAAGGAGGAAAGTGATCCAGGGGAGGAGCCGGAGCAGGAGGGAACCAGAAGGAAGTTTTGTCTAGTGCCTGTGTCTTTAGACCCCATTTCAAACCAGTTAGGATTTGTTGGTGTGGAAGCAGGATTGTTCTGGGAGGGCACAAAGCCCATCCTTAGCAGGAGTCAGATCCTGTCCTTTTTAACTTTGGAGTACTGCAGCAGTCATGAAGTCCAGCTGGTCCTGAAGGACGTTAAGCTGATCTGAGCCAGTGAGACAGAGAGTAATTGAGGCAAAGGAGGCTTCAGTCCAGCTCTTTCAGTTCTGAGTCCCCAAACCATGACCAGAGCAACAAGAAGAGGGATGAGATGGGTGGTCCATAACCCATTAGTCCCCTTCTATAGGTCCTCTGAACTATTAAGGTCTGGGGACATTGATCTCTTGGTAACTGCTTCAAGGCTGGCAGAAGGGAGGGGAGCAGCAGGTAGAGAGCCCCAGAAGAAGGTCCATCCAAGGGGCCGTGAGAGAACTTAGCAGTTGGCAAAGATCCAGAACATAAGTCAGGAGGTAATAACTGTACAACTTTGTGGGGAACATTAAGAGACAAAGTGACATGGAGAAAACGTTGACATTGAGATTAACGGGAGTCTATATAAAATAAGGTTAAATATAAGGTTGACATAAGGTTAAATGCAACTGTACAACTGGCTGGACCATGTGCCAGAGTTCTGTGGAAGGATAAGGTGACTAATTAGCTGTTTATTACATCAGTCTCCTGCACGAGGAACAAGCTCCTGGAAGGTTACTAAAAGAAGTCAGTTAAAGTCAGCATCCAATGGATGACTCTGAACAGAAAGTGTCTCAGTGATACTCCTTGCTTCCAAGAATGATGAACTTTGTATATTTGTTTCAAATATTAACAACATCAGCTATTATTTGATTAACAAAAGCCATATCTCAAGTAAAACAAAAATTTGGGTTAGAAACAATTTGATAAGGTGAAATTTTAAAAATTAGGACTATTACCTTAAAAAGCCATATCCAGTATTTGAAAACATGACATTACATTTTTTTTTTTTTTGGTTTTTCGAGACAGGGTTTCTCTGTGTAGCTTTGCGCCTTTCCTGGATCTCACTCTGTAGACCAGGCTGGCCTCGAACTCACAAAGATCCGCCTGCCTCTGCCTCCCAAGTGCTGGGATTAAAGGCGTGCGCCACCACCACCCGGCGACAATACATATTTTTAACATAAATTGTTATAGTTATATTCCAAGATTATATAGTGAATATATTTTATACTGTCAGGCCGTGTAAAGAAACAATTTAATTCTAAGTTGTATTCCTCAGAAAGAAATGATTTCCAATTTCCAATTTAAAAACTACTTCCAGAGACAAATGTAATTTGTCTTGTCAAATGTAAATGATTCACTTTACAAAGTTTTGTAAATTATTAACCCTATTAACAGAAACCTAAAAAAACAAAACAAAACAAAACAAATCCTCTGCATTCTCATTCCATACACTCAACCAATAGATGAAGCAGTCAGTCACGTCAAATCTGTAACAAATAATTTACATGTAACATGGACTGCATTAACAAAGACGGCTAAAGCCAACGCTTTACTCCTTCTGCAGAAGGACAAATCTCTAGGTCACCACACACTGACAGCAGTAAGCATATTCCTTAACATCAGTCTATTTAAAAATAGATTGATTGTTCAGAAGCATAATTTATAAAGCAAGATTAAATTAAATGAGCTGCTGGCTTTTGGAACTGTTTAAGAAAATGTCCCCAAGCCTCACTGAAGGCCTGGAGAACACTAAGGTCTCTTTTCACTCAGGCACTTGACTTCACTGCCGAAGCCCTTGTGCTCCTTGCAGGCTTCAAGGTGAGAGCACAGGCTTGGCCTCGGAGCTCTCTGTTGGGTAGAGACTGGGTTATATTCTCAGAGTACCACAGCTTAGCCCAGCTTGGAGAGAAACTCCTTCATCTGAGTCATCTCCTCCTGAAGAGCCTGAGGGCTTGGGACATCACTTAATAGAATCATTGCTGACAAAACAGACACAAAACCGACCGTCAAAGACACCATTTGGATATTCTGAATAACTTTCCAAAGCTGTGAGATTGATGGCAGTATCTGGCATCCTTCTACATTGAGGGAATATGGGTGACTAGGGTATAGACCCTGAAATTAGTTTTTGCTAGGAGGAGGAATTGAATGCTGGGGTAAAGGTTGAACTATCATGCAGGTCCCACGCCAGTCGGTGGTAGGCTTATGTACGAGGTTCCTCTGTTCACAGCATCCTCACATGTCAGTTCAGGAGACACCGAGGGCAGAGTAATTGATATTTGCCTCTCTGCTGTGTGAGATGTTTAGGATGTGGTTGCAGACTCTGAGATCCTCCTCTGGACAAGGGAATCCATCCCCCTCTCATGTAAGACATGAGGAATAATTCTTTCGATAAGGAGGAGGGGTTTAGTTTGTTTTCTCCAGTCTTATTTTCCATGCATCCTTGTCCTGTAAGGAGGCTAGCATGCAACTTACCCTGGTGGGATGGCGCTCCATCCAAGGGAACGTGTGTTCCATCCAAGGGAACGTGTCCTCCATCCAAGGGAACGTGTGCTCCATCCAAGGGAACGTGTGCTCCATTCAAGGGAACGTGTGCTCCATCCAAGGGGACTACTTGAGCCTGGGGCTTTCCTGCCTGCAAGTGTACTGTGTAAATTTAACCCAGTTTACTCAAGCATTCATTTTTTTCATAACCAATTTTTAAAATATACTTGATTTTGAATATTATTTTGCATTAAACAAACTTTAAGTTCCCTTTAAACTTGTTTTATTTTACTTGCTTTATGCCTACCTTGATAACACATGCAGAATACTATATGATGGAAGGTAACAGGAGACTCTGGGATGGAAGATAGATTAAAAACTGATCTCTCCCTCCAACCTTGTGTTAATATTCTGACCCACCCGCCCCTTGAAATCCTGTCCCTTGGGGCCACCCTACATCCTGACACAAAGGAACCCCCCTCTTCCTCTCTCTCTTCCGCGTTCTCTCTTTCTCTCTCTCCATTCCCACGAGGCATGCACCCCCCCTCTCTCTCTTCTCCCCCTCTTTCCTATCTTTCTCTTCATCTCTCTATTATAATAAACTCTCCACGTGGATGCAGCACCTAGGTGTGAAAGACTGTCCACATGCCGCTGCCACCCCACCCCCCACCCCCACCCCTGCTTCATCTGCCCAGCATGTCTTCTCCCATGAGTGGGCCCTGGTCTGGCCATCCTTTGGTCCCCGTATGCATAATTCATAACACCTTGTCTCTAAATTACATCTGTACTTAGCATGACTAACCATTAGCTTGTATATCCTAATTAACAATTTACAATTAGTAAGTAATTCTTTTATAAGATTAGGATTTTACAATTTTATCCCGGTTCCTTTTAAGCCTTAAAAATTATAAGTCTTGAATTAAAGATCAATCCATTAGTATCAAAATAGACTTTGAAACCATAAATACAGTTCACAGAGAGATTGGCCTTTTTTAGTCTAGTTTTACAAAATGCCAGTTTTTTTCTATGACTCAGATTCAAAACAAACCTTATCTTGGAAGCTGGTGTTGCCTCCTTAGTCTGATAAAAGTCATGATAAGCAGAGAGCTCAGTGAATGTAGTTGTTTTATGGGTGCTGCTCTGATTGGTTTATACCACTGGTCACCTTAACCACGATGGTGAAGTCACATGGCATGCCCTTTTTTTAACCTTAATAAAGATGTTGGCTGAATCACATGACTTCCAAGATGTCCACAAGTCACATGGTATTCCAAGGTGAGCCTAGGTCATCAGCCAAGATGGCAGCAAGTGGCATGGTACTCCAAGGGAATCCATCAGGCACACACCCTGTTCCTAAACAAGAGTTGAATCCAAGTTACATTCATGGTGTGTCATAGCAAATTAAGATTATCTATACATCCTTTTTAAATCACACTCAATGAACTTAGAAATGCTGAAATACAGAAAGTGAAAGTTTCAGCAAAAGCTTTAAAGACAGTAAACAAAACCAAGAAAAAAAGAGAGAGAATTCAAAGACTTAAACACCTTGCCATTTGTAACCCCTGTGTTTACTTCTTGGTTGTTCTCAAGAGCAAAGTGTCTGTTCCTGGATGTTCTGTTTTTCTCTCCTCCCTGCCACAGAGTCAGGTGGCCAGCCTGAGCCAGGACTACGACTTCAAAGGAAACTTTTTTTTTTTTTGGTTTTTCGAGACATGGTTTCTCTGTGTTAGTTTTGCGCCTTTCCTGATCTCGCTCTGTAGACCAGGCTGGCCTCGAACTCACAAAGATCCGCCTGGCTCTGCCTCCCAAGTGCTGGGATGAAAGGCGTATGCCACCACTGCCCGGCCAGAAGAAACTTTTAAACAAACATACTTGGGTCTAGGGCGGATGGCCCACATTCAAACTCCAGAGCCAGCCTTCTATAGTATAGTAGAACAGCATGCAACAATTTTTCAATATCATCCATACTCAAAAGACACTTGAATCTCTGTAAGACTGAACCTGGTGATCTACATATCCATAGCCAGTTGGTGTGTGTCTGCGGATGGAAGCAGACAACCTGGAATGCTTTTGCCTCTTAGCTGCTGAAGAAACGAGCAGAACTTCCCAGGTCACAAGCATAAGGTGAAGGGCTCTGTGCTACCTGAGCTAGGAAAGATGCAAGTTTGGAGCCCAGCAGAAATGGCTATGGGCATCCTGGCTCTGGTGTAGTTGTAAGCCAGAGCCTTAAGAAAGATTAAAGTGAACTATGGGTTTTATGGGGGATGGGGACTCGGACCAGGCTACCATTCCATCTTAGAGTTACCTAAATCAGTTTAGGCATTAGAAATCAAAAGTTCCCAAATTGGGGCCAACAGTGGCCATATGTCCAGTGTATCTTGAGGACAGATTTGAACCTAGAGCTGAACAAGTGAACCTGATATGAGGTCTCCCAAATGGAGCTTTTTAGATTAGCCTGCAGTCAGGCTGAGGGTACTTTGGATAGAGAATTTGGAAGTCATATGGGCCCAGGGCCAAGGTAAAAACAGGTCTACCACCAGCTGCTTATGTTCTGGGACACCCAGAACGTTAAGTGGGAGTCCCCAACAACTACAGTTCTGGGGTTGAGGGGCTGCAGGGCTAGTGTCTTGTACCCAGTGGAAGGCCTCCACTTCAACTTAAGGAAACTCCAGTGAGCCCTGAAGCCTAACTAGGTCCCTCTGAGTTAGGTCCATCAGATTACCTTGTCCCAGTGTTTTGCTATGCTGCATGCATGTTCTGACTGACGCAGTGTGACTGCCCACCTCGGTCAGACTGTGCCAGGGTAGTAAGGTAAGAGAGAAAAGGCGGAGACAGAGAGTGAAAAGAACAGGCTGCCTGAGAGATGGCCTAGTTGGGCACTTCTGGGCCAGAGCTTGTATGAGAGTCAGGGAGGTGGTCTGTGGGTGGGCTTCAGCTGCTAGGAGGCTCGGATTTTCCATCTCGAGCCTTTTAGCACCACATATTACATTATTTTTAAAACCAGTCTTAGGGCTGGAGAGATGGCTCAGAGGTTAAGAGCACTGCTTGCTCTTCCAAAGGTCCTGAGTTCAATTCCCAGCAACCACATGGTGGCTCACAACCATCTGTAATGAGATCTGGTGCCCTCTTCTGGCCTGCAGGGATATGTGCAGACAGAACACTGTATACATAATAAATAAATAAATCTTTAAAAAAAAAAAAACAAAAAAAAAAACCAGTCTTAGAGCTGGAGAGATGGTGTGAAGGTAATATAGACTCCATCTTAGGATAGGGCCACCATCTTAGACCACCTGCTGTACTCAGTTCCAGAAAGGACCTCAGTAATGTGCCATGACAACTAGAACAGATACAGAGCAGTATCCTCCTGTAGACATCCTGTCTGCGGTTTATGGCCCTTGAAGATATCTAGATAATCCTTCTGAGCCACCCAGGTAACCCTGCTCAGCAAGTTGTGATTCCCCACCCAAAGTCCAACCCAATAGTTTCAAATGTGGTTTCACGCCAAAAGTCTAGACCAATAGTTTCAAAAAATTCATCTTGCTCCATATCCCTTCTACCCAATCTCAAAATGCCAAAGCATATAATTCCTGGCTTGCGGTTTTTCCCTATAAAAACTCTCTACACCTGGGCTCGTGGGTGCTGCCACATTTCCTTCCATCTGCCCTGCGGTGGCCCAGGTTCAAACCTGACAATAAAAGGACCCTTGTGTGCTTGCATCGGAAACCAGCTCCTTGGTAGTCTCTGGGAGTTTCGAGAAACAGGTACAGCAATGGCTTAGTGGTTAAGAATACTGGATGTGGGCTGGAGAGATGGCTCAGAGGTTAAGAGCACTGGTTGCTCTTCCAGAGGTCCTGAGTTCAATTCCCAGCAACCACATGGTAACTCACAACCATCTATAATGGGATCTGGTGCCCTCTTCTGTCTTGCATGCAGGCAGAACATAATGAATAAATAAATCTTTAAAAAAAAAAAAAAAGAATACTGGATGTTCTTCCAGAGGACCCAGGTTCAATTCCCAGCACCACATGGCAATTCACAACTGTCTATAATTCATCTCCAAGTAATTTGACACCCTCATACAGACATAAATGAGGACAAAACACCAATGCACATAAAATAAAAGTAAATAAATCATTTTTAAAAAGCTGGGGGAAAAAACTGCTGTAGAGAGAAGGTAGAAAGAAATGTTTGGTCTGACCTTAGGTGGGACCATGTTTATTCATACTGAGGGTATGCCTTTGTCACTCAAATGTGCAAATGGCCAAAATGTCTACAGGGGAAGATTTGGAATCTTAAAGGGGCAGAAATGACCTTCATAGTCACAAAGGAAGCTGGGAAGTGTAGTTAGTCCTTCCGTAGGAAACGGTCACTTTGTGTAGAGCAGATGAGCAAGAAACAGAGCTCCCAGATTGAGGGTCTCTCCAGTACCATCAGACTCAGCTCTCTGTGGGCGTAGAGTCCAAACCTGATATGCATGGCTATACCTGTTCAGTGATGCACTGTTGTTAACTGGTCTGAATCCCCGAGACATCTGTCTCCTATCTACTTAGATTGACTATCAATTTACAGTAGTCCAGGAAAGTTGGTGCCCTTAGTCCACTTTACCAATGAGGAAGCTGAGGTTCAGAGTGGGCAGACATCATCTAAGAGGAGGGAGATGGTGTGATATCATGCAATGAGGGGTCTGGGCTACTCCTCGACTCTCTTTACCCCTCCACAGCTGTGCCCAAAGTAATGTTATCTGAGCTTCCACCATGCCAGGCCCTTTGAGTGAGGTCATAGGACTGAGCCCATTTAAGGTTGAGGGTCCCAAGGCATAGAAGGGTGAGTCCCTTTCCCAAGTGCGCACAGCAGGAAGAGGCTGCTACAGAGATTAGCCCGCCCCTTCCAACAAGTTCCCTGCCCTCCTCTGATGGTGGTGCTGAATTGGTAGGATATACCAGGTCAGTCACAACACTGTCACTCTAGGGATAGGATGCTTATTAAAGGCCAAGCACTGAAACGGCGCTCTTCTCTTGGCCTCACACATCTCTAAGATGCTGCACCTCCTGCAACTTCATCAAACCTGGAACGACTGAAAATCTATCCTCAGAAAATTAGGGGTACCTAAATTGATATCAAAAATGAAATGTGAGGCTCAGTAGTTAAGAACAATGGCTGGTCTTTCAGAGGATGGGGGTTCAATTCCCAGCACCCACATGATATCTCATAACCATCTGTAACTCCAGTCGCAGGGTATCTGATGAGCTCTTCTGTCTTCAGAGGGCACCGAGTGCACGTGGCACACAGAAGAGACATACCTTCAGATAAACACTCAGACACATAAAATGAAATCTCAAAAAAAATTGTTTTTAAATATAATTTGTATGAGGTACCCAGCAGACGGGATGAAGCATATGCAGAGAGGTCTCTAGAACTGGTACTGGAGCAGGCTTGGGGATGACGGCGCTGGCCTCTGGTTAAGCTGCGCAGCTAGTCTGGTGGGATTCAGCAGCATGAGCCTGTCGCCTTTCCAGCCCATTTTTACCTGATGCATTAGCATATCCTTATGATATCTGTTATCCTAATTACATCTATTTTCCAGGTATAGACAGACATACCCCCGAGTTGGGGTGCCCATTAGCAAATCACACGGGCCTCTGCAGCTGTGTTTTGATTAGCAGAAAAGGGTTCTTTGGCATCAGAGAACTAAAATCACCTTTTAGGGTATGACAAGCTCAGCCGAGCATCTCACAAGTGAAAATCAGAGGTTTCTCTAAGGCAGGGATGAGAGCGACCATGAAGAATTAAAAGGAGAACAGCCCTTAATGGTTTCAGCTGTGAGAGCTCAGTCATAATGCCATCCAGCAAACAGCACAGCAGGAAGTCAAGGCACTCTTCCGGTCAGCATAGGTCCCCAGCCTGCTTCTAGAAGAATGGTAAGGAGGGTCTCGGGGACCACCCAAAGCCACCACTTGCCTAAGAAGGGCTCCAGCAGTGAGGCTGCGAGCAAGCAGAAGCCAAGGATGCTTGCAGGATGGAACCTAAGCCATACATTCATTTCCACAAGCTCCAATGACTTGCATGCCCTATGCAAATCATTATACAAATCACTCCAAACCCTCTTTGTACTCAGGCTCCTTTTAGATGTTATTTCCAGGCTCTACAATGGACTTCCAAGCCCCTCCTACCCTCACTCTTTCTACGTGCCAGAGGCTGAGTCTGAAGATGTGGCTCACACCTTAGGAGGAAAGAGAATCCTTTGTAATGAGAAACAGCATTCTTGGCATTCTCTTAAGTTCTATCAGTGGTGACATTCGAATCAGGTACCCAAACAAATGTAAAATATTACCTATGGGAGGTAGCAGAGCCAAGAAACACCTACAGGAGGGAATCCTGTCCTTGCTCTTGCAGTACCATGGCAAACTTTCCTGGATGAAGGAAAGGCCATGCCAGGTGCAGGGTAGGGCAAAGCGTGGTGGCCTGTAAACGCACCTCACATTCCAGTGTATGCTGATCCCTCTGCTGGAGGATCGCTCCACTTCTGTTTGCCTTGAGGATTTACTATATTCCAGGGGCTGTTCTTGCCAGTTGATGTGGCAAGGAGACAATTCCCATTTGCACTCAGGGGAGCTAGATCCAGAAGACAGCAGTTTAGCTAGGGAAGTCTCCCTGAAGAGGCTACACCTGGTGATGAGCTGTCCAGGCAGGGGCCAGCACCCAAGAGATTCTGGAGAGAACCACAGACGGGTTAGGCCAGCTGGAGTGGCAAAGTATAGCAGAAATGAAGTGAGCTACAAGGAAACCATGAGCAGCCTGTAAGAGGTTTAGGGGGAGCCTCCTTCATGCTATACCTAAACTTACGTGTTTCTATTTTTATTATTGTTAGAATTCCCAGCCACTCCCCCAGCTACGTGACCGCACATGCTCTGTCCAGTAGCCAGGCAAGATGCTTAGTCATCCCTAGGGCCTTACATCCTACATAATCCCTGAGCTGTGTGTGATCATGTAATCTATGCTCATGCATGGAGTAGCTACATAAACCCATATGCGCATGTGCTTGGGGAATCCATAAAAGCGGGTTCCACATATCCCTCCTCCTCTTCCTGAACAATCTTTCCATAGGCCTAAGCACCCCTTTCTACTTCCTCCCCTTAATGAACTCTTAGAGTGGGTTTTGTTGTACCTTGTGGCTTTTCTCACAGGGTAAACAGTGCCACTTAATGAATAACATTGCACGGCTTAATAAATAACAATTATTACCGTTGTTGTTGTTGTTTAGAATAGGTGACTCTAGAATCCCACACTTACATTTTATCGAGTGTTCAGCTCACCTGGAAGACTTACTTGGTCAAGCTCCCAGAAATGCTACTAGCGTAGTGGGGCCTGGAAACCTGCCTTTCTAGCAAGTTCCCAGGTGATGTACGTGCCTTTAATCCAAGCACTCAGGAGGCAAAGGCAGATGAGTCTCTTGTGAGTTCGAGGCCTGTCTGGTCTACCAGGACAGCCAAGGCAACACAGAGAAACCCATTCTTGAAAAAACAAAACAAAACGAAAAAGTGTCTAACCATTCAGACCAGCCCTTCCTTCCCTCCAAAGGCCTCATAGAAGCAGCATCTCTGCAATCTACATTAACTCTGGAAATTTAACACACACTTATTCATTCATTCATTCATTCATTCATTCAGCAAGTCTTTACCCAGAATCCACTCTGACTGTGGCAGCAGGAAACTCTGTGATCTTATTCCTACAATGGGCTCACTTCTGAGCTCCTTCCCCAACTTGCTGAGTGACTCAGCAAAACCCTGTCCTTCCTAGGAATTCAGTGCAATCAGTGACACACAGTAGGAGGATGAAGAGCTGGGGTTGCAAAGTCCCCAGGGATAATAAATCCATCTATTCATGCATATATGGAAACATGGACTCCGCACACAAAGATAAGCTTGCTTAGGGCCACAGGGTATGTGTCTGGCACATGGTATGTGTCTGGCAGAGCTGCAAGGATGCTGTCTGAAACCTCAGAGACCTAGCCTCCCACCCCCACCACTTGTCCCTGATATCTCTCTCTCTCTCTCTCTCCTGATCCTCTGGTGACTGCAAGGAATGAGGCTGTCTAGTTGGAATGCATGGAGCTCTAGAAAGTCAACACAACCACCACAAAGCTGCTGACGTCTTGGGACATTCTCGTTTACTCTCCACAGTATGATGACATTCTAGAGAGCACTTTTGGTTGTGAGGCCCAGGCCAGGAACAGAAGCACTAAGAAGCCTGAGCCCATGCAAATGGAACCGACCTCCTCCTTGGCCTTTCTGACTGTCCCTCATGGCACAGCTCAGTAGCTGCACATAGACAATGTCTTTCGAAGTTCGCCAGGCCAAAAGAGCCAACCTTTCAAAATCCAAGCAACGTTCATGCATCTCTCTTGAGCACTTTTCTTTCTGCCCTGAAGGAAGAACCTTTGGATATTCCTTCACTCACCTCTGTTTAGCTGGAGGCTCCACTTTGGCCACACCCATCACCTCATTCCAAACCCTGCCTGTGGTGATATTTTATTCGTATGTTAATAAAAAAAGTTTGCCTGGAGATCAGAAGTCAAAGCTAGCCATAAACAGAAGTCAGGCGGTGGTAGCACACGCCTTTAATCCGATCACATGGCGAGCAGAGTCTCTGTGTGTTCAAGGACACAGCCAAGAGTGGTGACACACGCCTTTAATCCCAGTACCAACCATAGAGACCTGGAGGTCTGTATAGACAGGCAGTGATGAGGAAGTGAGGTGGCTGGGCTAAGAGCCAATGAGAAGGCAGAATAGCAAGGCAACAAAGGCAAAGGTTAGACACAAAGAAGCTGGTTCCCTTGGGAAGCTACCGTGGCATGGTGAGCTAAGATGAGTTGATGGCTATTTGTATTTCTCTGATCTCTACGGCTTTCACCGTATTTGGCTCTGTGTTTCTTATTTAATAAGACTGTTTAGAAATTCGTCTACACCTTCCCTTCTCAGAAAGCCCACCAAGTTGTGGCTCCTGCCCTAAAAAAAAGACAAACTAAGGTTTATGAGAGATGGGATTTAAAACAAGGCTGGTTTAATGAAGTATTAAAACTGCACCTCCATACATCCATGTAGAGGGATGTATCTTGCTGGCAGCCAAATTTTGTAACGTAAAAGTAATACCCTTGATATTGATTTTAGAAACACTAAATTATTTACACTGTGAAAACTGACTTTTGCCTTCTAGAGATACTAAACTGCTTACATCTAACAGATAATGATCCCCTGATCCTCAAACGCTTCAGAGATCTGAGAATATGGCATTTAATAAAAAAAGCTTCTCTTGATGGAAATATGCCAGCTCCTAGCAACACCCTGTATCTCCTCCAAGGAAGATGGATGGCCACGTAAGAACTTCCACCTGGATCGTGCTTTAAATGTAGCAAAGCCAGTCACGGAGCAGGAAACTGCTTTGTACCTTAACTGCTGCTAAGACCCTGTCGAGACTGTGGACAAACACTGGGGAGTTCATTTCCCTGCTTTACCAAGACAGCGTTGGCCAATCTCCCCAAATTCCCACTCCATAGGAAAGTCTTTCAGATTTTCTGGACCTGGCAGCTGAAAACTTACATTGTCCTTGGATCCCTGTCCCCAAAGACCACAGAGAAACCTGGGATAGCTGCCTAGGAAGCTGGAAAGCTGTCTCGCTTCTGCTTATTCGGGTGAAATTTATGCTTCTCAGATCTGATGGTGTTTGGTGAGTAGGGTACTGATAGATTTACCCATTTAACAGCTCCCCCGCCCCCCTTGTTCACAAGGTTTGCCTTCATAGTAAAGGATAAACAGGTTTCAGATGGAACTTCCCACGTAAGGTATGTAAAGAGGTTTCAAACTTCTATCCCCTTTCTATGCTATTATTACACTGGAATTTTGGAGGTAGAGTTTCAGCATTGATAAATGCAGTTCTGATAAACTGACAGAGCATTGACTACAAGCAGTTTTTAGAAGTTCTTAAATTTCTGTGGATTTCACTGGTTCCAGCTTTTAGGACTGCATAGAGACTTTTTCAGCATTACTATATTGTCTCCACCCACGTATGGCAAAACTCTGCTTTAATCAGTTCCTCCCCCTCTGAAACAGATTAGCATTGAAGAGGGTGTGGAAGCCTGCAGATATGTTCAACTCTGTTCTCCCTCCCCTGCCCCTCAGTCTCCTTCCCTCCCTCTCCTTCGCTTGCTCGCTCAACCTCTTTCATTCAGTGATTTTCCTCTGGTTGTCTTCTAAGTATGGACTTAAAGGTATGCTTCATGGGGCTAAAACCAGGCCCTAGGAAAAAATGTTTTAACCCAAAGACATAGCCTTTGCTCTGACACCAAGGCATATGTCTGTTCCAGCCGTTTTACAGACACTTGCAGGTTCCTGGTGGAAACTAACATCAGGCTCTAGAGCCCGTCCTTGATCCCACCCATCCTTACAGGTCCACTCCTCCTGCCAGATGTGTGCCAAGGCCAATCCACAGGGGGCCCTCCAGATATGCCAGCCCCTGCACCAGCTCCAAGAACGCCAACCAGGCAAGGACTGGCAGGTTGACTTCACCCACATGCCCACTCATAAAAAACTCCATTACCTCTTAACTCTTGTTGACACCTTTACAGGATGGATAGAGGCATCCCCCACCTCCAGGGAAACAGCAGATGTGATGGCTCAGGTACCTGAAACACATCATCCCTCGATTTGGCATGCCATCTCCCCAAGCTCCTGGGACATCAGTGCTATCACCACCTCTCCAGGATCAAGCAGGCACCTATTCAAGATGAATGGTCTGTCCAGCAACTGGGACCCTCTACCCTCCGGTTTTTCAGAATGTCCCAATGAAGGGCCTGTCTGCTCTTGTGTCTGGCTCATTCATTCTTACCTTTTCTGTACAACCAGGGCACACCTCCGTTCAATTCTTTCTGGCAGTCTTTACTCTCCCCATGGCTAGTCCCATTCGTAAGTGTTAATAATCTATTTTTTTTTTCTCCTAGCAACTTGCCTCCTCTGCTTCCTCAAGAAACAGATCCCTGGGTTCTCCATGATGGCAGTTAACCAAATGCTTCTTCACCAACACCTCCCACTGAGCATGAGCCCACTGACTCCTGACTCCCCTTCCCCACATTGTCCCATGCCAACAGGAAGTAGCCAGATTTGAACCGGTGACCATATATCCAAGAAGGTTGGGATGTTCAGTTGGAAGCGCCTCTTGGCCTCACTCTCCCTCCATTCCAAACCCTGACCTTCTCAGAAAGCCCACCAAACAGTGGCCCCTCCCCTGGAGCTGCTCAAGACAGCGCCTTCAGGGTATTTAAACTCAAGTCCCTAGACCTGCCCTGTGATTCCTCCTCCTCCTCCCCTGCCTCACTTCGGGGGGGCTTGAGAGTCACCTGGGGGTGCTTTGCTCATTAAACCTGGACTTTTAATTCAGCTTGATCTGGCTTAATACGTCCACGGAGAAACCTAATACTGGGGAGTCCAAAAATACATACCACTCAAGGCCGGGCCTGCCGGGTATTTAAACTGCCTCCTAGAGAACGGCCACATGGTTTTTCCCAGTCTCCTCTCCCTGTCTCATCTCTGGGGGGTCGGAAAAGGCCACCCAGGAGTGTTTTCCCAATAGACCTCATCTTTTATTTTTAATTTGGCTTGATTTAGCTTACTACCTCAGAGGAGAAACTTCTTTTTTTAAGCTGAGGGTTGGACCCAGGGCCTTGCGCTTGCTAGGCAAGCGCTTTACCACTGAGCTAAATCCCCAACCAGAGGAGAAACTGAATATCAGGTGCAGAAACCTTTCAACCTCCACTTATATTGTGCCAGGAGAACTACATTCCAGACCACAGAGTTGATTCTTACATAGTCCTGACCTCGGGGAGTTCATGCAGATGCAGCTGCCACAATGCACAGGATGACAGTAGATGTCCTTACAACCCTAGTGGTATGACTCTGACTTGCATACCCATCTATGGCCTTTCTGTTAGTAGATATGATGTGTTATCCAGTTGCATGGTTTGGGAACCATTCTCTACTGAAAGACCCTACACCCTTCTCCGAGAATCCTCTGGAGTGAGGGGTGAGAGAACAGATTTCCAGGATCCCTGAAGACAATGGCAAAGCCAAATCCACAAATGACCAGGGAGATTTCCATTCCTGCTCCTACCACAGCTACTACTGCCCAGCACCAGATGATGGTGGCTCCGTGGGACTATGCCCAGGACGCCTTGTCTAGGAATTACCCTGCAGGGTCACCCAGAGAGTCATCTGTAAGCTCAATGTAGCTTCTGGGCTGGGGTGGGACCTGGACCACATGGATCAGCAGACAGCTTTCAGGAATCTAGGAAATCGAGATGAAAGGTGCATCCAATACCTCTAAGTGAAGCGTGGATTATTCTAGGTGGCCCATTTCCTCTAGGGAGTCTGGAGTCACGTGTGGGAGAAAGCAGTGTACAAACATAAGCCATGTCCTGTACAACTGCAGCCTTCCCTCTCCTCTCCATCACCTTTACAGGTCATGCAGTTTGGAGTTCTGCTCCAGCCCCAGTGCTAAAGCTGAGTTTAATCGCATCCAGCAGGTATTTGAATGGTGGTCACAAGTTCCACTTCCATCCAACGAGACTCAAGGAGATGTTCATGGGAGGCATCTGAGAAAGTTTCTTCATGTGCTTTAAAGTGAATATCAAAATATACTGTGGCTTTTCCCAGTGGAATACGACAAGCATATAGGAACCCTGATGAGCAGAACAACGCCCTGCAGTTACAAGGGAGCCCAACCCGAGCAGACCCCTGAGACCACACTGACAGCCCCGGATTAAAGAAACCCAGGTACTTGAGGCACTAAATTTCCATCAGTCAATCCCTAGACTATTGCAGGACTGGCCAGCTGGCCTGCTCCACCCAGCACGCTGTGCTAATCAAAGACAGAGCCTTGATTAGCAGTTGAATATAAGAATCCTGAATGCAAGCCCAGCTCTGCCACTTGTTTCCTGTATGAAATTGGGCAGTGTACCAGCCTTTCGGAACATCTATTTACTAATCTGTACAAGAACATGCATGTTATTGTGAAGGTAGTTACCCATTTGGACCATCTTAGTCTCCCATCTCTAAAATTCTTCTTAGCGAGTCCCTAGGCACATACAATCCTGGCAAAGGGCAAGCTGCCCGACACTAGAGACAAGTAACAGAGCATACCTCTCCCCAGGCCCCAGGGCAGGTCCTGATGCATACTCAGCCTATCTTGCTTGAAGGCAGCATGGAGAGAGCTAGAAGTCTAATTGATTCCTACCAGTTAGTCAGGGCAGCAGAGGAGCAGATCTTCTGAGCACAGGCCTCAGACCAGGTCCGGAGGAGAAGCTACAGCCTAGCTAGCTCTCGGGGCTCCTCGAGTGCTCAGTCCTTTCAGAGCCCTGTCCTCGATCCATCTGACAAATCTAGACGCCCCCAACACCCTTCCAATAAACCTCCTCTTCTTGTGACAGTGAGTCAGCTTCTGCTGCTTCCAGCCAAGAATGCTGACAGATACGGGGCTTTCTTTGCAGGCTGTTGCCAAGCTTTAGTGTGGTCACATTTGTAAAGCATTCCCCTGAATGCTTGGCACTAATCACACTCAGTACAAGTTAACTATTGAGATGGTTTCAGGCTCCCATGGCCTCAGGAAGGGATGACTGGCTGGAGTCAAACATGGGTTTTTGTTCCCCGAAAGGGTACCCAGAATCCTGCTCTCTAACTAACACCATCTACACTTAGATGCTGGCTGCATTGCCAACTTGCCATACTCACTGTAAACTGGCAGTGTTGGATGAAGACAACAATATGGAGACTCGGACCTTCCAAAACCAACATCAAACAAACAGAAATATTGAATGATGGCACTGGCAAAACCTTCTTGGCATATCAAAGTTTGGCACAGCAACCCAGAGCTTGCTAGTCTTCATAGCAAAAATGAGTTTGTAGTCTCAGGACGCACAGCCAATGGTAGCACAACAAAGCCAGAGAGAGCAAGGGCAGAGGTCCAAGGCCAGCTCTGCAGGACAAGCCACTGTCTCAGAGACAGCTGTGATTGCCTGGCTGGGCCTCTTTGTTACCAGTCATGCCTGGGAGTGACTAGCCATCTTAGTTAGGGTTTCTGTTGCTGTGAAGAGACACCACGACCACAGCAACTCTTATAAAAGAAAAGATTTAATTTGGGTGACTTACAATTTCAGAGGTTTTGTCTATTGTCATCGTGGTGGGACGTGGCACCATGCAGGCAGACATGGTGCTGGAGAAGAAGATGAGGAGGTCTACATTTTGATCCACATGCAACAGGAAGTGAACTGTGACACTGGGTATAGCTTGAGCATAGGAGACCTCAAAGCCCACCCCTACAGTGACACACTTCCTCCAACAAGGCCACACCCACTCCAACAAAGCCACACCTCCTAATAGTGCCAGTTCCTATGAGCTTATGGGGGCCAATGACATTCAAACTACCACACTAGCTGAGCCTGCTTCTTACCTGACAGAGGTAAGAGGCTAATGAGTAGGATATTTAGCTATACTTTGCCATCATCACCATCTCCATCATCATCACCATTGCTATCATCATCATCCCTGACATCATCACCCCCATCAGCATCTTCTCCTCTTTCCTAACTGTTATATGCTGCAGGGATGAGCTATACATTTTATAAACTTTAGTTCATTGAATTCTTCAGGGAAGCTTATGTGGGGCTAGGGTTGTCACTCAGTAGTGAAATGCTAGCTTGCATGCATGAAATCCTAGATATGAACCCCCTGCATCACCAAAAGGGGGGGGAAGACAACCAACCATATGAAGGCAGGTACTATTATTTTCATCAATAAACTGATGAGAGGGAACTTGAGTAACCCAAGGTCGTGTAGCTCAAAGGTAGGGGGGTCATGTTCAGCACCCAGACTCTTACCAGAGCCCTTAGCCACACAGCTATAACTCATCAATGCCATTGCCCCCGCCCCTGGCAATACTCTTGCACATTCTGAGTCTGATTTCAGCCTATCCTATCCTCCTCTCTACTTTCTCCGCAGCTGTAGCAGCTATACAGGAGAACTTTTGCCAAAGTGCCTTTGTATTTTTATTTATAAGATACATTTTATGCCCGGATTGGGGCTGGTGGCAGATCCTGTCTCTTCCACATTATAAAGTCTTATGTAAACGCCATAAAAATGTCCCCTGGTGCTTATGGCAATATATTGATCATAACCATTTAATCTCATGTGCAAAGCCAGAGGCTGGGTACACCCTGCTTCCTGCAGTTTGGCCTACAGGTTTGAGCTTATAAATCTCTACTTATATTCCAGTGCTGGGGGCCAAGAAGGATTATTTATGAATGAGATTCTAGGGGCGTTCTGCCCCAGATTAATTGCTTTCAGTCCTATTTTATGGAGGTCCAATGGGTCAATGGTGGGAAAATGAATCTCAGCCATACAGCCTCAATGGGAAAAAAAATTCAGAAGCCACATTCATCTTGCTGGATGGTCACTGTGCAGCCCAGGCTACACTGCGTCCTGGAGCGAGGCTCTGTAATGCTGGATGGAGCAGCTGGAGGGATGATGACACTTGTATTCACCCCAGAGAGCTGCTTCAGCCCACGGTGCCACGGCCGCTCTGCTCGAGCCAGCAGCCTCTGACTTTTTTACTACTCTTGTCTTCTGGAAGGAGGCAGAGCACAGATCAATAAGATGCTCCGACAGAGGTGCCTGCAGCATGGCCATTTCTCAGGCAAGACACTGATGGCACCTATCACTAGCCATAAAAGGCCACTGGAGACAGAACGGGGCCCGTCCATCGCAGACCTGTCCACCCCTTCTCTGATAAACATCTCCTGAACAGGCCTGCAGCAAAGAAACCATTTCGGGAGGCAACATGCAGGGCCTCCTCTGAGGACGGACCCATTGTGTGCCTGTATACCGTGTATGACAGAATGCTCCTTGGGAGTCTGTGGGGAATACTGGCTCCTGGGAAGCCAGGGAAGGTGTTTTGAAGGCCTGCGTGCTGTTGTGTGAGCTCTATTCCAAATTGAATTATTTAAAGAAAGCCACACCTTGTCCATCCATCCTCAAGTTTTTTGTTTTGGTTTGTTTTGTTGTTGTTATTGTTGTTGTTGAGAGGGGAGGGGGGCTTATTCTGCCAAACTAGTTGCTTAGAGTACTATTTTTTTTTAATCCTTTCTCCTGTGTTTGACAAAATAAAGTAACTGGTCTGGATGTTGCAAGCAGAGTGGGTCTCGGTTGTCTGTCCCCAATTCTGGGTGGACATCCCGAATTCTGGATGGACAGACATCCCTTACTGCTCTCAGTCAGAAACGGCAGACAGGAATGTCCAATTTTAAAGTAGCACAAACGGACAACCAAAGGAGTCCTTTTCTCCCTCCCACCCCAACATACTGCCTGAGAAGGAGAATATGGAGCGCCATACTCACAACATCCTACAGAAGACAGCTAGACAGCATGAGGAGTCAGGAAAGTCCACTCACTGGCCTTGAATTCAGATTAAAAAGAATACAAATTAGGAAAATAACAATGAAAACTTTCATTCTCAAGCCAGTTCAGGAAACCTGGAGGAGACTGCAAGGTGGAAATGGAAAGGGTGTCCTGCAGGGGTGACCACTTCAGCTACAGGCTGTGGTGCCCAGCATCGCTAACACTGGCCTCCCTACACAGCTGGTTGTGGGAAGCTGTCCTCTGCTCTGCAGGTGCTCAGCATCCTCCCTAGTCTCAGATCTTAAAGTACCGCTAGCACTCACCAGTTGTAACCATAAAAAACATCTCCAGATGTTATAAACTGACACTGGGCTGGAAGTTACCCTTGGTTGAAATTACAGCGCCAAGCAAAAGCCTGGAGACAGGAACACTGCTGGTGGAGTGGTTAATATTGATGGCCCATTGAGGCTTGAACGGATTGAGAGATCAGTGAAGTACACGTCTGTAGCTGGACTTTCTTTAGACCACTAGCTCCCAAATAATGACAGGACAAGTAGACTTATTAATTATGAAAGCATGGCCTTAGCTTAAGCTTGTTCCCAACTAGCTCTTAACAGTTAAATTAACCTGTTTATATTAATCCACATTTTGCCACATACTCTCCTCAGTACTGTCTGTCCAACTTTCTCTGCCTCTCCATAGCGAATCCCCCGCCTCTCAGACACCCCACCACCACCAGTTCCTCTCTCTCCCTGGAAGTCCCACCTATCCTCTCCTGACTAGCTACTGGCCATTCAGCTCTTTTTTGGAAGATTTATTTTATTTATTATGTATACAGTGTTCTGTCTGCATGTATGCCTGCATGCCAGAAGAGGGCATCAGATCTCATTACAGATGGTTGTGAGCCACCATGTGGTTGCTGGGAATTGAAATCAGGACCTCTCGAAGGGCAGTCAGTGCTCTTCACCTCTGAGCCATCTCTTCAGCCCTGGCCTTTTCACTCTTTATTAAACCAATCAGAAGGTGCCTTAGGCAGATGAGGTAAAACAGACACATCTTCACAGTGCACAAAAAGATTATCCCACAACACACTTCTGGGAGTGTCTATGAGAGTGTTTTCAGGAGGTAGTCCCCTGAATGTGAATGGCATCCTCTAGGCCCCGATGAATTAAGTAGGAAGCCTGTTAACACAGGCATTCCCTCCCACGCTGGTCCAAAACCTCTGAAACCTGGAACCAAAATCAATTCTTCCCCCTTGAAGTGGTCTTAATCTGACATTTTGTCACAGCAAGGAAAACTGACTAACAGAACTGGCACGTTGAGGCCCTGAACACCCCAGAGCCTATACAATTAGTGTTTAAAATCCCTGGACTGCTTAGAGAACTCCAGAAGATGCCAGAGAACCTCATAACACAGCATCATTAGGGCAGCCACCTGCAGCACCGGCTCCCCATGTGCCAGGCGCTCGATATCATCTCAAGTAAGTGTCATACCACAGGCTGGTGACTCAGAGGAAGAAGCCACCAGACCCATAATGTGCACCAAATATAGAAACCATAAGAGATCACAGCTAGGCTACCCTCGGGACTTCCTAGGGAAAGAAGAGGCTGTGCTCTTGTCCATAGGAATAGTTCATACAGGATGAGGTAGAGAAGGGGTCACCATCCAACTTGAAGGTCACCAGCTAAGGTGAGCACCCTGCTAGCCTACCTAGTCTTGCTTGCCAATTGCATCTGCCACTTGTGTGCAATTAACACTTTACAAAGAGTGCTCCATGCCATGCAGCCCCACTGAGGAGCTCATTGGAAATCTGGAATCTCAGGCCCCACCTTTGACCTTCTAATTCACAACCTTCATCCTACCAAGACCCCCGGCTTATCTGAGGCGGCATTAAAGTCTGCAGTCTTCTCTGTAATGGCAGCTTGTGCTGTAATCAGCGGCCTCTAATAAGCAGCATCCATCAGCACTTGGCATTGCCCATTCGTCAGCTCCCGCCCACCATAGCAAACATCTGGGACAATAAACTTGCAAGAGAAAAAGTTTATTTGGGCCTTTTTAAAAAAAGTATTTTAGTGTGTGTGTGTGTGTGTGTGTGTGTGTGTGTGTGTGTGTGTGTGAATGTGTGTGTATAAGAGAAAAGAGGGAAGACGAGAAAGAAGAAGAGAGGGAGGGATGCAGGGAGGGAAGAGTATATACAGATGCCCGGGGAGACCAAAAGAGGTTGGATTCCTCGGAGTTACAGGCAGTTATAAGCTGCCCAATGTGGATGCTGGGAACTGGACTCAGGTCCTCTCTGCAAGAGCAGCAACTACTCCTAACCACTGAGCCATCTCTCCAGCCCCTTGCTCGTTGGTCTGTAGGGTGGCATAGTGGGGCCATGTACAAAGTAAACTGCTTACCTTACAGCCAGAAAGAAGAAAAAAAGCAAAACAAACAAACCAACAAACAGAGCTGTCTTGGGTTCCTTTAAGGCCATGCCCCAGTGGCCTGCATATTTTCCCCTAGGCCCCACCTCTTACAGGTTCCCCACCTCCCAGCAGCCCACTTTGAGGACCAAACATTTAACACACAGGCCTTTAAGGATATTCCAAATGTAAACTGTCATAGTGTGCACAAAACAGATACCCGCAACCTTCCTCTATATTCAATTCATTCAACAACACTGATGGCCTGCCCCTGGGGGTGACAGCCTGGTGTCTCACACTCACTGGGCAGGTAAGTGCACAGATGAAGTCCTTCAGTTCACACAGGACTACAATGAAGTTCTGCCAGGTGAAAACACTCAGGCTGCTAAAGGCAGAATACAGGTTTTAACGCAGACTTCCTTTTCCCAAATCCTGGTGCTTTCAACACATGCCCTGCTTTACACTCTTTGGGGTGAAAAAGCAGAACTTTCTGCTTGTCCAGCTCTTGGAAGCCTGGTGGGGGCTGGAGTCATACAGATTGATGGTTGGCACCAGCTACCAACTCATCAGGAATCAGAGGTTCAAAGACAATTTAATTCACGGGGGTGGGGGGGTGGGGGGGCAGGCTTAGCTTTACTCCAAGCTCTCCACCATTTCATCAGGTCGAAATCAAAGGCATTTACAGACCACACATAAAAACCACAAAGCAGCCACAGCCCTGAGCCTAGCAAATCTGTACCCTCGATTAGATATTACCCACACGGAAAAAGTCCAGACCACACCTCTGCTGTGAGTCCCAAAAGCCCTACCCCAAATTATTCCTTTCCTGGGGGCTCTAACATTTTGGGGGGCTGCCAGACATTTAGCCTCACTTAGTTCTAAGGTTGTTATTGTTTTGTTGGGAGAAGTGTAGGGACTGAGGCAGAACGTCATGGTGCAGCCCAGGTTGGTCTGAATTGTTGGTCCCTATCTCAGCCTGCAGAGTGCAGGGTAGGTGCCACCATGTCTGAATTTTGTTTTCTGATAAAAAATGGCACATGGTTGTAGGCAGCAAGCAGCTCCACAACTCAGAGAGCCCAAAGAAATGGCCACATGCCTCCACTCCCATGTTTGATCTAGAAACTGCAGAAACACTTCAAAGGGCTCTGAGGGTACAATGAGCTAACCTGGAACCATATCTTTCTAGATCCAGGAAAGTAAGCAATGAATGGTAGCCACCTTCTCATTCCCTTTTTCCTCAGGACATCCCAAGATTTTTCTGAGGGCTTCAAGATTCCTAAATCCAGCAGGCAGAGCTGAGGAGTGTGACAGAGTCACAGTCCATTGAAGGGCAGGGGTTAGAGTGAGGGGTGCTGGCTCTGTTGTCTGAGGAAGCTCTCAACTATGCTCAGAGGGCTCTGAAATGCTCCAATGGGACATGGGGCTGAAAGAGCCCACACAGATGTCTGACCTTATTCTGATTCATCTAGCTCAGGGACCTGCCTACCCCATGCGCTTTAGATGCTTCCCAGCACCAAAGCTGAATATGTTCTGCATCCATGTTCCCCGCTTCCCTTGCAGCTATGACATGACCAAAAAACGCTTCCCAGCAAGGCTTGACTCAGCAGCCAAGACCTGTATGAAAACATCATGGTGCTGATGCTGTACTTCCTGGCTCCTGTGTGGCCAGAATGGGATTTGCTTCCAGAAGCTATCATGAGCTTATTCTGGACCTTCTTGAGCCATTCTGGGGACCAACTCTGGACAGGCTGTCTCTGATTTCCTGACCCTCCTGTAGAACCGGTGTACTCCCCAGTTCCATGAGAATGTTCTCTGTTAACGTGGACTCTGTGATTGTAGGTAGCTAAGAATCTAAGGAAAGTGTCCCAGCGTTTGCTTCCTCATAGAAAGCCCACTGCCACCCTCTCTACTCTGCTCCATGGATACTTCTCACAGCCCATCAGAGTCCATGATACACAATGGGTTCTGGTGAGAGGCAGACAATACAAGAAACTCTGAGGTTATATTTTGTGCGACTGTTTTCTATTTCACTTTTTTTTTTTTTTTTTTTGGTTTTTCGAGACAGGGTTTCTCTGTGTAGCTTTGTGCCTTTTCTGGAACTCACTTGGTAGTCTAGGCTGGCCTCAAACTCACAGAGATCCGCCTGGCTCTGCCTCCCGAGTGCTGGGATTAAAGGCGTGTGTCACCACTGCCCGGCTTCTATTTCACTTTTATGGTGATATATTTTATTATGTTTGAGAAAATATTGGTCCATGACAGGTTGCGGGAGAAAAAGAAACTTACTGGTCTTCCACCAAAGATGATCCTTCACCTTCACCACAACTGGGGATTGCATGCCAACACAACCATGTGGTCAGTGTGTCACATGCCAGGGACTCAGAGTGTCTAGCCACAGATCTGAGTTCTCTCTGGACTCCCTGCCTCAGAAAGCTGTACCCCTTTCCTTCCCCAGTATCAAGTTTGGTTGTCAGAGTCATGAGCTCTTGACATTCAGGAGTCTTTTGTTTCTAGTGAGACCAGTGGAAAGCATCAGGACTCCCCAGAAAACAACGCCTGAGCAAAACGTTATGCTCCTTCCAGAAC